ATATTTCAGATCAAAGATTCCTGAACTAGAGAATACATTTGTTATTAGTTTTGCAAGTCCTCATGCAAATAAATTTATTTAAGAGTGTTTATTTCAAACCTGAGATGTAAACAAATTATGAGCATATGTTCTTACCATTTCTGTATTTACTGCAGATTGATAATGCCCCCTCAGCAAAGTTGTTTAAGCCTACAAATAAAACATTCTTCAAGATATGGCCTTTGCACAGTACTTGAGGATAAAATCATTAGACTGATAAGATACAAAATGTGCGTATTAATTCAGCTGAGACTGTTACCTTGTTCTGTGTTATGTGTATCCACGATGGCTGTATATGGTTTCCAATACTCTTTTCTAAGAAGTTCATGGCTGTCACTGGGAAGCCTTAATTAATGAAAACACATTGAATCTTAAGGACTCTCTACACACTAAGATATGCATGGGGGATATACAGAAAATTATATAATATAAAAGTGTGAAATATTAAGTTTATCTATTTTATTTTCAACACAAGGAACCAGGCATTTACCACCTGGAAAAAATTCAACAAAGAAAGAAATCACTTACTTACTTAAATGGGGAAAATATGTGCTACACTTCAACTTTTATTTATTTATTTTTTTTTTTTTTAGAATTCTTCAGGTGAGTAAAAATGCTGAAAATGTTATATCTCGGGATATACAGGTACACATATTTAGTACCGCAATACAATTTTTTGGTGTACTGCCATATACCGATGTATCATTATTCCCTCATTCATTTCACTCAAACACTTTAGTTACAGTAGATTAAAATGCATGAAATTCACTCTAAAATGAGTACTGAAAGATAAATAAAAGTAAGTAGACTTGAGCACCAAATGAGATTTTAACTGCTAAATAGTTGGGCTTACCCAACCTCTAAATAGCATACCTCCCATGCCTCTGTGCAAGTTGAAGTTGTCCCATGAGACTGCGATATATGTCAGCTTTCTCTGCTGGTGTGCCATTTCTCAGTTTATCAGACATAAACAACGTCTGATATTGGTTTAAAAACTGCTTGTCATATTCATCTTTCACATTCATTTTGATTTACCTAAAGGATCAAAGCTAACCAATGAGTACAGATATTAGCTAACAGATATATTTATTTAGACAGGTTTGCAGACATGTTAAAAATGGGCAGTCCAGTGATCCTGTCAGCCCTTTTTGACTAAGGGCCTTAGTATTAAAATCCAAAGACCTAACAATCACTGAATCGGTCCATCATTCTCTCAATGACCTGACAAAGCCAGATCTACCCAACAGTTCACGAAGAAAGTTATCCTTACGAATACAAAAACACTTACTGTTAAACTAAATGAGTTTTCATCTCAGACTGCATCGACTGTCATCTGGTATCTCCGATGAGGATACTTTCGGTTTCCCGCCAAACGATAAATCTCGATCCCGATTTATTAATGTATTCAGTAATGTAAAACTCTGTTAAAAAAGATCAATTAAAAAGTAAATAAATAAAAATCTCGCATGAAAATAAAAAAGGAGACTGCAACCATTAGCCTCTTATTTATTATTAAATAATGAAAACATTGGCCGGGCTAACTTGTTTTTATAGTTCGATTCATTTTCACTTGCTAGGTCAGAAGAGAATTACATGTACTTTGATGAGGCCCCAGAGCACCATTGATGACTTTCTGATATTAAAAAAATTGGATGTTGAAAAATTTAGTTGAATTCTGATATCATTTTTTTATATTTCAAAGTATAAATTTCTGAATTCCATATACAACAGTCAACTGCTTACTGCCACTGCTTATAGACGGTATATTGCCTTTTTTTAAAATTTTATATGCATGCTTGAATAAACACTATCATCGCAACAATATATTACAGTAATATAAAAAAAAAATCGGCGGATTGGGGAATTTTTCAACGGGAAAGGCGGAGGAAGGAGCGATGGGGCAAGTCCTATGGAAATTCCATATACGACAGCCAACTTTTTACCGTTTTCTACCACCACTGATGATATAATTGACTTGTTTTTTCTTCAACAGCTGTTCAATACGATGCTTAGTTAAATCAATGTTGTTGTGGTTATGTTAATGACAAAAAAGCTGATCTAGAATTGTAGGGGAAAGAAGAATGAAGAAGTATTTCCTCTGAAAGAAAATGCATAGCTTCAAAATTATTTTTTTTATATAAATGTGTATTTGATTATGGCTTGTGTTACCCAGGACCTTCTCTAAATAGTATTTATTTAATATACCAGTCCCTTTGACCGACCTCCCCTACATAGGAATTTTCTTTCAATATGAAAATTTAAAAAAATCACAAATACTTTTGAATAGAGTAAAATACCTTGTGATTTATGATAAAGGGGGGGGGGGTTAAAGATGTCACAATATATACGTTATTTACCTTATGCAAAAGTATTTGTGATTTTCCCCGTATTGCTTCTAATATATTATTATTAATAAATTAATCCGCCAAGATTATCTTAGACGCTAATAAGAGTTTATTACTACCCCCCCCCCTTCCCCCATTTTTCCATACAGATTTAGAAAACTGAGACGAAATAATTTCTTATAACCATTTCTCTGTCGTTAAAGTTCCGTACCCCCCCCCCGCAATCTAAAAATAACTGTTGGGTTATTTTTCTTGTCCGGAAATTTTAGTGTTTTGTTTTTAAGGGAACTTTTATATTATGGAATCCATATACGACAGTAAGCAGTTGGCTGCCGTATATGAAATTCCATAACTAACAGTTTATTTTTTTTTTTTAAAGATCTTGGGGCCAGTGTTTGAAACTCACAGCAAAATTAGCCAGACATGCAGGGTTGACTGCTAGTAAAAGTTGTCAGCCCTGCCAAAGATCTACTAAAACTGCTTGGGGCATTGTTTTCTAGACGGTTGATATGCATGCAAGTATACTTCAATGCACAAATTTTACCCATATTTTTTGTTATAAATTTTGACATTATCAAAATCGGGCACATAGCATAAGATAACAAGGGAGGATGGGAGCCCCCCCCCCACTTTTTTTCTTTTGCCGTTGATTTAGTATAGAAATTTCCATTAAAAGCTGTTTAATTGTGCTCCCCCTCACCCCTCCCAAGTTTTTGTTGCAGGAAGGCAAAATCCTCCAAAGTTAATGTATAGATGTATCCCCCACAAATGTTCTTGAGAAGAGAGTTTACCCCCCTTCCCCCTCCCCGAGTAAAAAAAATCTCATTGGAATTGCAACCTATAAACCTGAGATTTGCCCCCCCCCCCTCTCCAATATAAATAATTAGTGGAATCGTTTTCAAAAGCCAACAGACTGACATGGATAGAACATTTACTGTCCGCTGTCTTATAACGGTAGAAGAAAACATGATCTGATGTATCTTCAAGTCAAATGAAATCAGCTAAATACAAATTACAATACAACGAACTGGGATTCTGTTTAACCTTCAAGTTTTTAAGAAACGAAACTAAGTTTGCTCTATCTCGTTTCGTGTCTGCATCTGTTTGTATCATTCATTTGGGTTTATTTCGATCTCTTTTCGTACATTTCTGCTGGTCTGCATGGTCTAGATTTAAGAAAATGGGGTGGGGTGATAAATTAGATTAGAACTTATCAGAAACTGTGTTTCTTAAGTATGCTCCGTTTCGGAAGCAAAGTAAATATGTTTTTTGAACACCAACAGACCTTTATTTGAGTTACTTCTTTTGATTTTTGGTTTCTTTAAATAATAAAAACGGTATATATTTAATTATGACAGATAGACAAGATATATAATATGCAATTCGACTATCATTTAAAAAAAAAAACAAGAAAAAATCATTTCAGCTAACTTTAAACTGAACTACTAACCTGTATTGCAATAATAATGCACAATTTTCCTAGTCAATCACCATCAGAAAAGAAAAGCTAATATGTATTTCAGGAGTCCTACGCTTTGAACAATTTTAAGAAATGCCACTCCTCAGATAGGACACTGTTAACCTTGACTTTCATTTACGGCCAACTACATGTATTTCGAAAAGTGTCAAGTCCAAGCAAAATGTGTTATATCATGAAGTATATCATTTCAAATGCCATTCCTTCTACATACCAAAGACTCTAAAGGAAAAAAATACAGATTTGTCTTCATTTCCTACATTTGTACATTTTTTTCTTCGAGAATGTAGAATTATACTTCTGTAAGTAACTTACTTTGCTACAGGAGATGGATAGGACATGATGACTGGTTAGTAAGCAATAGGAATGACAATGTTACCGACTAGACACCTTTCAAAAGAGTTCTAACGACCTTACTACAAAGATATTATATAAACCAGAAGCGTTAACAAGTAGATCGCAGGGGGGGGGGGGGGGGGAGGCACTTTCTCTGATTATAATATTTTGCTGAAGTAAATTTTCCTTTAGATGCTGGTTGCATCCTCTTTTTGTTTTGCTGTAAGGTCGAGCACTTTTTTTGGTTTGTCAGATTTTTTGTTGGAAATCCCCCCCCCCCTTCTTTTGAAACCGTTGACATAATCAAAAGAGCATATTTGACCTTGCCATTATCCTGCCTCTACAAGGGAGACAACTTTCTTTTTTTGTTTGTTTATTGTTTCACGTCCCTCTCGAGAATTTTTCACTCATATGGAGACACCACCACTTGCTTGTGGAGAATTGCAAAATTTGACCTATACTCGGCACTCAGGGCCATTGAGCAGCGAGGGATCTTTTTCATGCCACCACCTACTGCGACACGGGACCTTGGTTTATACGGTTTCTTCCGAAGGACCGTTCTCCAAGTCCCACAGTAGGATTCAAACCTGCGACATAAGGATCAACTCCTTACTCCGCGACTCTAGAGCGAACGCTCTTACCACTGCGCCATGTGGGCAACCAACTTTCTTTGTAAACTGCCTTTTAATTGCATGTTCTTTTCAAGTTTTAATGCCTCATCTTAAACACATCATGATTTCTGTTTGAAATTTTGCATCCCATTAACATGTCTTTTACTTGCTTAGGAAAAAGCAAAATCTGAGTACTATGAATAAAATTTATTTTTTCTTCTTCTTAGGTCTTTTCATTCGTTTATATGGCCCCTCTCCTTTCATTTTGGCCTCTTGGATCTCGACATATTTCCTTTTATTGAATCTAAAATGTAGGGACATGATGTTAGGTATTGAAAACAATATTTTAACCATAATTTTAAAAAGATCACAGCTAATTTAAAAAAAAATAATCAGATATCTATTATATTTAAAACCAGTTCAGAAACTAAAAAAAAATGTTTACTTACTTCCTAAATTCTGCATCAGCTATTAGCTCCTGAACAAGATTTGCTTTTCGTTTCTTCTTTGGCACTCTGGAGTGGTAGAAATCTGCTGCTGATTCAACAACTTTTCCAAATTGAAAGAACTTGGGTAGTCCTTTCATATCATTGCCCTTGTAAAATCTTTTGGGATCCAGTGCTTTTCTCATTTTCAGCACCTCCAAATTCATTTTAGCTTCATCAGTCATTTCTGGGGCTCTCATACCAAACCATCCCTTGCCTTTAGTCATCTCACGTTCTTTCTAAAAGTTTTCAAAGAAAGAAGTGTCAAAGATAACTCTTTATATCCTAGCCATACCAAGTTCTTTAAATCATTAAGGTTCACTGACTCTCTAATAAGAGAGAAAACTCTCACTGACCCTCTGATAAGAGAAGTAACTCTCACTGAAATAACAGTTTTTTTTATTCCTTTTAAAACCATCTAGATAAAAGGCCATTTCTGTCAAATTTTGCCCCCTCAAGGTATACTGAAATTGTGGGGCTTACATTTCTTTTGAAAAGCTTAATTAAAGCAAAATTTAAATTCTATATGAATGTAAAGGGGAATGAAGATTCCTAAAAATCAGTGGAAAGTAAAATAAAATAAAGACATAATAGAGACAAATTAATAACAAGAAGTAAATAATCCACAAAACAAACAAACCTTCCTTTTTTGTTTTAATTTTCTCAGACTTTCCTCATATGGTTCAAGTGAATCCTGCTTTTCAAAATCCGGCTTAATGACACTCTTTTTCATAATTTCCTTAAAGAAAAGTTAAGCAATATCAGCCCATGTTTCATATCAAGACAGTTGTTTAACTCAGCGCAATTTTTGTTTGGTAACATTTTAATCTACCGAGTATGTTCACATTAAATCACATTCAGAAGGCTTACCTGTACAGTTCTGTCACTCTTGTTAGTATCTTTCTCTTTATTCTTTCGTCTCTTTTGTGAAGTTCCGAGTTTGGAAGAACTTGGATCCATGAGATTAATGTTAGAGTGAATGTATGAAGATAAACCATCACTTGAAAACAAGATATATTCTAAATCATAAAATGGATACTTTATAAAGTTCTACTTAAATAATTTTAAAAACATGAAGTTATCAGATTTGACTGAAAATTACAGAAACTTTACAGATTAAGAGGTGATTGAGAAGCATGAGGCTTATCCATAATCCTTTCAAAAACTTTAAACAGTAAAACAAATGCAATGCTTCATACTATAAATATTACTAGTATATGTTGGTTTGTATAGCATACATTTTAACTCTCTATTGTTACACAAGTGGCCCGTTTAACATGTTGAATTTTATCAACATTGTAAAACGAAAATCCTAGGGTCATTGTTTTGCTTCAAATACTTCGTACTATGTTTCATTTCTATAGGAAATAGTAGTAGTAGTAAGTATTTGAAGCAGACTATTGCTGGAACTCTTCAGCATCAGAGGTTTAAATGAATAGGATATTCTTATGAAAAATCAACAACTTTATATTTTATTGGATTTAAACCTTTTAAAGGTAAGAAACGAAAGTTTTGTAGTGATAGAGACTTAAAAGGATGTCCAAAGGAAAATGTTGAAGCAGGCAGCTAATTCATTTCAGCCCGTATTGATTGAAACAAGCGGTCAAAGTCGGGGCAAGGAAACCCGAATCAGTTTGTGTGGTACTGTTCTGAGATTCGTAGGGACACCAGACCAAAATTTTTAGTCCCTACGAATCTTGCTGAGATTACCAAACATCCAACACAATTTAACAAATTCATTTTAAAATTTTCATTTACGTACTAGTTCTTTTTTTTCTTTTTACGAATAGCGTTACTCTTTGAGGTTTCATTTAATTTTTCTTTTCCTTGGTCTTTCTTTGGCGAAAGGTTGGGTGAAATATTGCCTGGCCTTTTGTCCAAAACAAATATGGAATTGTCAACTTGAGAACATCGTTCTTGTCTTTTTGATAACTGTTGAGCAATACTTTCACTCAAAGTAAAAGCTACTTCTTTCAACTCTTCGTCAGAAGAGCTCTCGTCTTCAGATGACGAAGAATACGTTTCCGAGTTGTGTTTCATCTCACAAAGTTGACAAACCTATCACAGCTATGATCCCATCACGTTTTACACAACCGGAAATGCCGAGGAACAACTTTGCTATTTGCACTTACACCAAAATATAGTTATCTTTAATCAGGCTCAAAGAAAAAAATAAAACTAATTTATATTTTATTCCATTAATATACATTCAAAATTTATAAAAACATATGCTTATTTATAAACATATAAACTAAATTTGATGGTTTTTGAATCGGCGTATGAATTTTTACTTGAATTTCCGATCCCGATCAAAATATCATTTATAGGCCTAGAGAGAGAGAGAGAGAGAGAGAGAGAAGGAAAGAAATAATGCATAAATAAATAAATGAATGCATAAATAAATAAATAAATAATAAGTGCATTGATTTGCAACTTTTCATAGTTGTTTTACACGGCTTCAAAATATGCAGAAACGGGACCCAACGGGGAAGGGGATATCCTGAACATCCCCATCTTAGTAGTAATATGACCAAAAATTACCTTGAAACCTCTATCCCCACCTTGGGAGAAAGAAAGAAGGTAAGATCATATGTAGGAAGGAAGGATCTGAGAAATATTACCCCCCCCCCCCACACACACACATAGGTATGGCACGCCAATTTCACAAAAATTAGCGAAACTTAGTTTCACAGTTGATAAACTAGGTTTATCGACTGTAAACTATAGTTTACAAACCGTGAACTATAGTTAACGATTCGTTAACTATAGTTTTCATCTGTAAAACTATATTTAACGGTTGTTAACTATAGTTTACGAATGCTAATCTAAGTTTATCTGTCTGTAATTAAACGTTAACAATAGATTTTGTTGATAAACATAGATTCACATCTGTAAACTATAATTTACAATCGTGAACTATAGTTAAGAGTTGTTAATCATAGTTTCACAAATCGTGAAACTATATTTATCAGATAAACTATGTTTTACATTCGTTAACAACAGATTTCGGTTGTAAACTATAGTTAACTGTCATTTATACTCACAAACTATATTTAACAGACGTAAACTATACTTATCGATCGTAAACTATAGTTTTGAGAGCTAAACTATGATTCACATTTGTCAATCATAGTTTATCGTAATAAACTATAATTCACACTCGTAAACTATAGTTAAGAGTTGTTAAATATAGTTTATGAATCTAAACACCTGTTAACTGTTAACGGTAGTTTTCAATTCGAAATTTCGCGGCACCAATCGCGAGAAGCAATAATGGGGTATATGTCTCTGGTTTTATCAGAACGGAGAATATTAAGGACACGTGTTGGGCATTATCTAAAGCAAAGACCGAGTTATATATAATCAATATTACTTTCTCTATTTAAACAGGATTAATTGTATTTGTTTTAAAATGTCGTGTATATATACATTTCCAATGGGGACATTTTTAGAAATATGATAAAATTTAAATTTTTTAAAGGCAGAATATTACGAGATTTTTGCTCAAGCAGAGGAGGGTGAAGCGAGTTTTACAATGTGCCAAGCATTTTCCCGCCACATCTCACCACCAAAACAAAGAAACTGAAAGAGAGGAAATGCTGTGGCGGATATAGATAGGGTTGTGGGGGTTTCAACGTCCTCCTTTGAATTTAAGAGAGAGAGAGAATGAGAGAGAAGTCTCAAATATTTGTTGTGTTTGTTCCGTGAAAGGCCACTTTTATTTATGTATGAAGAAAATTCGGTTGTTGAAAAATAAATTCCGCGCTGCAATGTTACATGTACTGTGTTATGTCTTTATTTACAGATGAATATAAGATATACATGTATTTTATTAATGACAGATCACGCATTTCGGTCTCTATTTTTCTCTTTTAAATAAAAAAAATAAAATTTTAATAATTTTCCAGTCATTTTTCTTTTTATTTCCAACTAGATTTGCTTTAAAATAATAGAACATTTACTTATAACGTCAAGAAATATACATGCATATATATTTAACAACAATTGTCGTTACATAGCAAAATCTTATAATGATGTAACTAGGATTAGCCGATCTATAATTTACAAAAAAACAAAAAAAAAAAACAAAAACAAACTATTGTTAACTATAGTTTTGATCGTAAACTATGGTTTAGAGTCGTGAAATCTAGTTTCACAGAAAATTGTGCATCTCCGATACAAAATAAGAGATTCTGTTCCTAAACTGTGTTTCTCAAGTGTAAAACTATGTTTATCGCATTTTTGTGAATTTGGCGCTTTGTATGTCTGTAAAGTATACTTTACAAAGCCTAAACTATAATTTACATTTGTTAAGTAGAGTTTAGAGTTGTAAATCATAGTTTACAAATCGTGAAACTATATTTATCAGATAAACTATATTTTGCATTAGCAAATGATTGTTTTCCGTGTTAATTATAGTTTACGCTTGTGAAACATAGATTATCGTGTAAACTATAGTTTACATATGTGAAATATAGATTATCGTCGTTAACTATAGTTAACGGTCTGTAAACTATAGTTTACAGTCGATAAACCTAGTTTATCAACTGTGAAACTATGAATAGCTCATTTTTGTGAATTTGGCGTGCCATACATAGGCTACATGAAAAAGGTTTTCTCAGGTTTATTTGTTTTTTGGTTTGTCAAGAAATCTTTGGTCCTAACCCTCATTCCCCTAACCCCTAGAATTTTTAGAGTTATTGAATGGTAAAGTAACCAAAAATGACTTTGGATCCCCCCCAAAAGGTTGATGAGAAGTGTCTCCCATCCCCCCACGAAATAAAGGGTAATTATCGCCCTTGCCTTTTGTGTGTATGTGTTTGTTTGTTTCTTTTTGTTTGTTTGTTTGTTTTTTAAAATATTTTTTAGTTGGTATGGAGTATGGACCCCCTTTCATGATCTTTGTAGTATTGTCTTTTAGGAGAGATTGAAGATGAATTTCATTTTCTATTTAGCTGCCAAAAATACAATAATCATAGGTTAACTTTTGAAAGGAACTTGATGATTTTTTTTTTTCAAGGAAAAAGTCAAATATGTCTTATACATGTACTTAAAAAGTTATACTTTGCTTTAATAGCCAATGTCCAGAAATACTGAAAATAACACCCTCATTTATTAAACGCGAAAATGTCATAAATCTAGAAATGATTGTATTACATAATTATTGTACAAATGATTGTATGATTTATGCATATCCTCACATTCTAGCATATTGTGTAAATGTATGAACAATTTATAATTCTTATATATGTTGTGCCATTGCCAATTATTGTAATCGTGTTTGCGCCAATAAAATATTTGTATTTGAATGTTGTCTTTTGTCAACAGTCAATGTGCGAGTTTTACATGCTTTCTTCTTCTTCTTCCAATAAAGTGCAACACCTCAACATGAGTATTATCGCACTTCAGCTTATGCTAGGTGTAACAACATCTACAAGTGCAGATTAAAAACTGGTTAAAATGGCTGATGGTGTGATTAACGTAGTCCGAAGGCCAGGACCTCCTGTCTGAACATGTCCAGTGTAACTGTCCACTGCTCTCTGTGCTAGGACTTCCTGTCTGAACATGTCCGGTATAACTGTCCACTGCTCTCTGTGCTAGGACTTCCTGTCTGAACATGTCCGGTATAACTGTTCACTGTTCTCTGTGCTAGGACTTCCTGTCTGAACATGTCCGGTATAACTGTTCACTGTTCTCTGTGCTAGGACTTCCTGTCTGAACATGTCCAGTATAACTGTCCACTGCTCTCTGTGCTAGGACTTCCTGTCTGAACATGTCCAGTATAACTGTCCACTGCTCTCTGTGCTAGGACTTCCTGTCTGAACATGTCCAGTATAACTGTTCACTGTTCTCTGTGCTAGGACTTCCTGTCTGAACATGTCCAGTATAACTGTCCACTGTTCTATGTGCTAGGACTTCCTGTCTGAACATGTCCGGTATAACTGTCCACTGCTCTCTGTGCTAGGACCTCCTGTCTGAACATGTCCGGTATAACTGTCCACTGCTCTCTGTGCCAAACTGTTCCAGATCCTGATACTGTCTGGGAAGAAGGACTGTTTATAAACTAGTGTCCTCACATATGGTATCTGGAATCTGTACGTGTGTCCCCTGGCTGCAGACATCGTTGGATGTAGCTCAGATGGTGGAATAATTACCAGGCCTTGCACTATCCTGTACATCATTGCATCTTTGTATCGTTCCGCCAAAGAAGTCTACTGGAGAGTTCCTAGCACAGGCACTTGTTTCGTATACGGGGCATCCCCTACTTATTTTTACCATAAGTAGGGGGTGCCCCGTATACGAAGCAACTGCCTGTGTTTCCTAGCGTTTGTGTTACACTGCTATTTTGTGAGTAGTTGTTCCTCACAAATCGAGCCGATCGTCTTTGTACTGCCTCTAGCTTCTGAAAGTTGTGACCTGTATTCGGGTCCCAGGCAATAATAGGCACACTCTACTAAACGTCTTACAAGCGTACTATATACCGGTAGTTTGTGGCCTTGGTACTCCGTGGGTAAGTTTCGTTGTATCAAAGCTCTGGTGGAGTTTGCTTTCTTTGTGACGGTGTCTATGTTTTCATTCTATCTGAGGCTTTTTTGGATGGTAGCATTCCCCTCCCCTAGATATTTGGCAGAGTTCACTAGTTCTAACTTGTGGCCGCGGATGTTGTAAGAGCTGGCCACAGGTTTGCGTTTGTTGGTAACTCTCAGCGGTTGGCATTTGCTAGGATGGAAATCCATCTGCCAGTCTGTTTCCCACTGTATTCAGGTCTTCTGTTTAGTGATATCGTTATTTGAGCAGGTCTTTTGGTAGAGACATAATCATCAGCGAAGAATCGAACATTGGAATGATGGACATATTCCAGTACATCGTTGATAAAGAGGAGGATCATCAGCGATCTGAGCACACTGTTTGAGGCATTCCTGAGCATTGCTGGAACTCTTCCATCTACTAATACTCGCTGGTTCCTATTATTAAGGAAGTCCCCTGACCCATTGTAGTGTAGACCCTCTGACTCCATAATAGTACGACTTATACAGAAGTCTATCGTTCGGGACCTTATCAAACGATTTGGAAAAATC